CTTAGAGGCTCAAATGTCGAAGGAGAGAACTTTCGTCTGACTGAGCCCATCCCACTTTTTTTTCTTCTCTTTTACTGCGATAACAGGACCACAAAGATACACACCCGTAATATTTGATCAATTATAGCAAATATATTCGAAACTAAAGCGCCTTCTAATGCCATGCCACGTTTGCCCTACTCAAAGTTACATAATCACAAAAAAAAAAAACAAAAAAAAAACGTTGTCTGATAAAAGAAATTAATAAAAAAGGATCAATTATGAAGATATAAATGATACATTTATTTTAGTTTGGTTATAACCAAAATCGAACTATAATTGTAGACAATTTTCTGTGGTTATGCAGTCCAAGCTGCGGGTGCACCGGCGCTCGCACACCCTGAGCGTCGATCAAAGCCCTACACGAGTACTCTTTACTTCTTCTGAAATGCAGCTGAAATTTGTATACGTGTATAGGATGCCAGTACTGGGGTTTTCTCTACAACGCTAATAAACTCTTAAAAAAAATAAAAAAAACGCTCCCAGTTTACTTAACACATCAACTTGCTTTTTTGTTTTCTTTTTGCGTATAACCTCTAAGTAAGCCTTCCTCATACTCCCGCCGATCTTTTCTTAACAGCCCCTGCCGTTCTACGAAAAAAAGAAAAGGCCACTAACAACATGTTTTACAAAAAAAAAGAAAAAAACATATATAAAGAGAGAGAAAAAAGTAGGTCGGCCGTAGATCTTTTAATTACAACACCAAAAGCTCGCGATAAATGAACCCCGCGCCGCAAGAAGTCTCCGTTTCACGGTTGAATTACAACAAGACGGAAGCGCGAGCCGCTTCGATTGGACGGAGGGCAAACGGCGGGCCGGGGAAGCACCAACACGCAGCTTCTCGTTGTCTGGTTTCCGCCGGAGCAAAGCCCAAAAGAAGGCTTCCGCGTTCCGCCTTTCCTCCACCGCGCGCACACACACACACACACAAACAAAAACAAAAAAAACAAAAAAACCAAAAAGAAAACTTCCGAGTAACAGTGCTGCCGTCGCCATCACGGACAAAACGAATCTCGGAGCCCGCCCAAAAGAGCGAGCGCAAAACGATTCGCTTAATTTCCCAAAGCGCGCGCAGGCGCGCGCGGGAGTCTGCTCTAATGTTTCAGCCGCCTCCATCAGAGCATCTCGCACGGAATGAGAGAGGCGCAGTGTTGTTGCTGTTGTTGCCCGAGGCCCTCGTCGATAATGCGCAGTCTTGCGCAGTAATCGGGGTTAACGAAGTACAGCCGTCGGTTGCTGTATACGTTGTATACGTCTATTAATGTCGGCCGGCCGAAGCAGCCGCGAACGTATACACGCGCATGCCGATTTCGAACGGATCTGTCGACCCGTGAAATTCGCGTGCCCGAAGGCGCGATATAGCGTTGACGCTGCAGTAGGTTGCATAGATGCGTGTCCAGCGCTTATCCGCAAAGATCTGATCGGGGGGCGGTATACGACACCGTGTGGTGCACGCGGAGGAAATCGAACGGGTTGTCGAGAGCTGATTCGATTTTGTAATTGTCAGCCGGGTACATAATACCCGCCCAATCGAAGAGACCGCGTTATTAAATATGGACGGATGCAAAACTCGCCCCCTCCTTCTCTAACTTTCTCTCCCTGAAATCTGTTCCGGTCGACTTGGGCGACATGGTGCCCAAATTAAAGTAGCGTTAGGTCGGGGGGAAAAAAATATAAAAAAGTGCAGGGGCGCTGGGATTGTTATCTGGGGTTGCATCGAAAGTTGTTCCATTACGTTGCGTTGATTAGTTTCTGGTCCTCGGCGTGGCCCGGGGCGACGAAGCAAAGCATGGGCAGAGTAAATCGACGTTCCCGCACGCGCGCGCTCGTGGATCGGGGTTTTCTCGAAAATGCGTTTGCGTACCCGCGACTGCTCGATGAATTATCCATCGGTGGGTGTATCAGTGCGCGGCGCGAAGAAAACAAGCTCGCGTTTTATTACTTATGTTTTTCTTTGCGCGTGTATCTCTCGTTCCGCCAATTCAACCGGTAAATTGACTTTGTTTCTTTTTTTTTTTTCTTTCAGCGGCCCGGAAAGCCGTCAAATCCCGCGATGCAAAACAGAAGCCGAACATCTGCTGCTTCCGAGGAGCGCTCGGCGAGTCGCTCACAGCGTGGCGGCTGTTGGCAGCCTCGGGGGCGTGGCCCACGTCTTTTCCGAGCGCACAGGGTCATCCGTTTCAAAGATGGCGAACGAGAGCGCGCTCCGAAGGCGTCTGCTTTCTTCGCTGCTCAGGCCCCACAGGGACCCTGAGACGGTATGTCTGACGAGTTTTCCTTCCAGTCAACTCTTTTTTTTTTTAATTACTTTTGGACATAATAGCTACCTTTTCATGACTGTGGCAAGTTTCGTCGGGATGTCCGAACGTATCCCTAGGTCATGGAGCATCAGTGGCGAAAAGGTGTTCGTTTCGTTTGCCATAGAAACTGTATGACCACTGCAGCATGATGCCGATTGCCCAATACTGATTGGTAGAAACTATTTAAAGGGAGACCAAGGATTGGCTGGTCGAGTGCAACGCGGGGTAGTATGCACGCGGGACGCTAGAATGGTCTGAGAGGGCGAAATGGCTCGATGAAAGAGCTTCACTAGAGTACGTAACGCCGTTCACATTGCTGCAGAACACGGAGACATCCAATGCGGGCGAACATTAGAGTGTCCCAGCGAATGACCCATCTCGGGGCACAATTAGATCCGAAAAATTTGATGTACGCGAGGATCCAGTGCGTCTACGTATACCCGCCAAGCACTTGGCATAGGTGCAGTGGCTGCAATCTACAAAGTAAACTCGACGGATGATGAAGCTGGAATTACACGTTAAGACCTAAAAAACAGTCTGCGCGAACGACGTCTCACGTGCCTACGTCAAGGTGAGTGGAACAACGCACACTTTTCTTTTAGGTCTAAGCGTAGCATCGTCATTCTGCAAGCTCCCTTCGGGGACTCAAGTGCTTGACGGGAATGAAGACGCACCGGATTTCTTAAAGCGTTGCACATTGTTTCTGCTCATATCCCATTTCTTTTTTGCAGTATTCTTTTTTTTTTTTTTTGTATTGCGTGCTGTGACTGATTGTTTCTTTCTTCGAAAAAGCAAAGTCACACTTTTTTTTTTACGTGAACTTTTTTTCACGTCAGTCAGCTGATGAACTTTTTTTTTTCTCTCTCAGTCTCTGTCTCCGTCTCTTTCTCTCTCTCGTTCTATCTCTCTCTCCCTTTCTTTATTTTGGGGAAACGGACGCCGAAGGTTCTCGGCTCAGCAAAAGGGAAAGCAAGCCAGACGTCTACTTTCTCTTCGCCAGCCTTCCTCTTGTGCGAGTGAGCGGACAGCACGCGGATGGACGCATCGGGAAGTGTCGTTCCTCTTCTGCCCCGAGGCGTCTTCGAAGGACTCCTGTCGCCGTTCCCAGGGCTCCGAAGCCCGACGTGAGCCCGCGGGCGCAGTACACGGCGGCCGCCGCTTCCCAGCGACCGTCGTGCAGCCCCTGGGCGCCGCCGCGGGAGATCCCGTCCGTCCGGCGTGCCGGGCCGCGCAGGGATGGGCAAGGCGGCGAGGCGCGGCCGCGAGAACTGGAGCAGCGTACCGGGCGTGGCGCGTCCGCTCGGCCATCGCAACTGGGGCAGGAGACGCCCGCCGCCGCCGCCGCGCTGCGTGCTCGCCTCGGCTCCGACGACGCTCGCCGTCGTTGGCGCCGGGCCCCGGGCCGCTCGAAGACGGCGGCCCGCGGCGTACAAGAGGCGGAAGATCGGGGCGAAGGACGCCATCAGCACGCGCCGGTCGGCGCTAATCGTCGGCGCAACGGTGACGGACGCCGAGCACGTCGCGTGGACGGCGGTGATGAGTCGCTGATGGGGTCCGCTGGGGCCGGCTGACGAGCAGCGTCAAGGTCGTGGCACGCTCTCCAAACGACGCCGACGCCGCAGCATGACGTAGTCCCCCGGCCCTCCCGCCGCAAAAAAATAAAAAAAATCATTGGGTCACACCGCACGCGGCCTTGGAGAGCTTCACCGGTCGCGTACGCGGCGGCTTTATATGCGGCGACGGACGTGGGGTGCGGTCATCGCTCTCGTCTAGCCGCCTGGACCATCTCCCGGTGCTTTTCCGGTGTCGCGGCCGGCCGTCGTCGTCGCCGCCGCGAGGTCCGAGTTCGGAGTCCGACCGTCAGGCAAGGAGAAAGCTGCGGTGGCGAGGCTCAAGGCTGGCCGTCGGGGCGACCGCGGGAAGGCGGCTACCGGGCGAAGCGGCGGGAAGGACGACCGCGCGACGACGGCGCCCCGGAGCAATCTTCGTGGGAACGGTCGGCGAGCCACACCCGGTCGTGGGAAGCGGGCCGCTCGCTGGGGCGACGCGCGCGAGTGGACGGGCCACCGGGGAGACGCGGCCCGCCGGTGCCACCACGAGGGCGTCCGAGACTTCCGATCGACGTCCTCGCGGCGGACGGACGCGCGGCCGTCGCGTGTGAGACGCGCTCGTCGTCGTCGCCGCGGCCCCGACGGCGTCCAGGGGCGGGCCCCGCCCGTCGGTAGCCGCTGCTGCCGCGCGAACGGGAGCAATTAGCATGGGCTTCACGTTCCGCGGCGGCCTCGAAAGGGAACACTCGGGGGCAGGGAGGGACGCCGGCAACTCTTCTTCGCCGCTGGCCCAGATCGCCGCCGGACGCCCAAGGCCTCGGCGGGGAGACGCCCCGGCGAGCCACGCCGCGCTCTGGCCGCCGCCGCCAGCCGCTGGACGGCTGCGGACACCGTCCACGGCAGTCTGTTGGCGACGGCCTTCTCTGTCGGCCCTGTTGGCGATAGTCCTCGTAACGGCGGTCGTGGAACCAGTGTGCGCGAGGGGTCTCGCTTCCACTCGAAGAAAAAGGTTGTGAGTTCGCTTTCCCGCGAAACACGGAGGAAGACAATCCACGTTTTGCGACATATGTGCTGCCACCTGTCGGAAAAAATTGGAAGCTTCCTAGAAAGCTGGGGAGCTGGGTTCGAGGCTTTTCCGGATGATCACACACAGACCCGGCAGGCGTGTTTCTCACGTTACGGCACGCTGGTTTTCTTCCCTCTGTTTGGTTTATTTCGTTCCGCGGCTATCTAACTAAACGGTAGCGATGACCGAAGACGAGAACATCCCGTTCTCGTTTCCTCCGGACGCTTGGGTCGAGAGGCCTCCGTCGTGTGTGAACTTCTCGCAAGACGAAGTGTGGCGGTACATGCAAGCCAAGCCTGACACCCTGCTTCAGGCCCATCGCGGTTGGGCTTTCAAGGAGGAAGGCTACGTACGCAATGTTCGGTGGAACCTGTCGGACGATTCTCGGACGTGCCTTGTCCGATGCGTGTGCCTGCCTTCCATGAAGAAGGCACCGTATACTGTCTCCGCGTGGTTTACGAGGGACACCGGCACCGTCAGAGGCGGCATCTGCAGTTGTGTTGCTGGGTGAGTAATACCCCGTTACGTTTCTGAATAATAATTTATGTCTATGTAGCCCCGCACCACGTGAGAGAGCACGAACGCTTCGGTTAAGTGCTCCAGTGCCCGCATAAAACGTGCGCCACAGCACTAAATAACGTTCGTACCGAACGTTTTATTGTGTGATCGATACAACTATTTCCACCCAGATTAGTTACTCGTTTTCGTAAACATCTACACACAGCTTGTAGAAGTCTCCTTGCTTTCACTTCTCGTGCACGCAGTTCGCACGCTAGCGCCCCGTTAGCATAGCAACCTATCTAGTCATAAGAGGTTCATTTTGTATTTTGTCGTTTTCTAGGAAAAGCGGGTGCTGCCAGCACATCGTAGCGCTACTTCTCTGTGCAGAGGAGAGCTGCAACACGACCACGGCAACCTCTTGCACCGACGTTCCCTGTTCTTGGATTGTTCCAGCTCAAGGTGTGTATGGAACAAATGCTTCCGTAAAATGTGTTGCACTTGCACATTATGTATGTTTGAGTACTACATCATTAATGGTGTATTATACGAAGATTGTTGCTCTCACTGTCTCATTCAAGATATACCTTTCTACGTCATAATTTTTAAGTCAACTCTGGCCATTTTTCAGTTAATAGAGAGCCAATTCTGGTTCAGATTGAGGGTCTCTGGTGGCTTCAGAGGCCTACAACTTCTCACATTCAGGTGTTATTTTGTATTTAATAACATGGAAGCCACAAAGAGCTGCGTTGACAAGGTGTTTGTCAGCACATCTTTGAAACCACATGGGACATGAATAATAAAAATGAGGGAAACTGGTACAATTATTAATCAGTAACGCCTCCCCCCCTCTCCTCCCAATCTCCTATTTCTCTTCCATTGCAGCCAAGAAGCCCGCAGCTCCTGCACCGCTTGCAGATATTACGTTCAGCAAGTTCCTGATCAACAAGCCGACTCATCAGAAGAAAAGCCGTTCGTATGACCCTTGTGAAGGAGTGCCTGGCCCGTCGCACGAGGACATCACGAAGTTCTATGGGAGGCTGGCTGAAATAAGACCAAATCTTCTTTGCCTGAGGTATGGCAACGTCATGCCAGTGAAAGAAGCGAGGCACACAGGAGCGATCCCTCAAATCGATGATGAACAGGATCTGTGGAGCCAGGAGGCCCGGAAGCTTGTACAGCACCACATGCAGACACTGCCACAACTGACTGCCGAAGAGAGGGCTGGCATTGTGACCTCAACGATCGGTCAAGCCTGCAACCAGAGGTGGCACAGTGAGCGACTTGGGAGGATAACGGCATCACAGTTTTCTGCTGTGATTAAGTGCAGAGAGCCTGACTACCTTGTGAAACGGATCATGTATCCTAGCCCAGAAGCAAAGAGTGAGGCACTGCATTATGGAAGGATGAAGGAGCCCGTTGCTGTTGCCGCCTACGTCGCGCTCATGAACTGCAGGGACGACCCAGTACAGGTGTATGAGACCGGGCTACACATACATCCGCGCTACAGCTTCCTCGGAGCGTCGCCCGACAGGATCATCGTCAAGAACGGCGAAGTAGGGCTTCTTGAGGTGAAGTGTCCCATCTCGAAGATTGGGTTAACACCCGAGGAGGCCTGCGGAGACGAGAAGTTCTGCTGCGAGTTGATCGATGGAACCGTGCAACTGAAGCACAAGCACGCGTTCTACTACCAGGTGCAAGGACAAATGATGGTGACTGGGCACAGGTGGTGCGATTTTGTTTTCTGGACGAACAACACCACTGACGCCAATTCGACGCACATTGAGACAATCACCCTAGACGAGGAGTTTGTCAGTAAGGAGCTGCTACCTGGCTTGCTGTATTTTGCCGAGCATGCTCTGTTCCCCGAGGTGATCACTAAACGCATCCAGCGACACAAGGACCTGGCTAGGGGAAAGTATGTCTCCTTCAAGAAGTTTCGTGAGGGAACCTACAGGGTGGAGGACGGTCCTGGCTTAAAGAAAACATTCAGAAAACTGAAGTGAAGTGGAGACTGAATGACCACAAATGCAAAACGGCCCTTGTGTGTGTCGGAATTGTCGTGAGAGCCACAGCACGAAGAGGGCGCCACAAGCCAGACGACAAAGAAGCCAGCGAGAGGGCTGAGTGCGAGAGTATGGGTCGGAGAACGCCAATACGACGGACGCACGGAGACTGATGTGCGGGCTCACTGCTCATGTAACGTATCGTTAACTCGAATTAAACGCTTCGTTTACGCCAACCTCGTCCCGACATGGTGGCAGCGGTGGGATGCTGTGGAAGACAAGTCAACTAGCTACAACAGCAACCGCTCCGGGGAGGCAAGGCACGGGAACGCTCGGAATCCGAAACTTTGCGTCGCTACGACAAGGTACGTCGACGGAACGCTCGGAATCCGAAACTTTGCATCGCCACGCCAAGGTACGTCTGCAACGACCACGCCGACCGGTAAGCGATGGCCACTGGGCAACAAGCTGCGCAACAACCAACGTCGCTAAATCCTTTCGTCGTTGAGTTGCCAGAAAAGTTGGATTTTCGACGTCCCGATGATTGGAAGCGTTGGTTCACCCGATGGGAGAGATACCGGGTCATTTCTGGGTTGAAAAAACAAGACGGGGAAACCCAAGTGAACACGTTAGTTTATGCTATGGGACGCGAAGCAGAAGATGTCCTGGCGTCGCTGAAAGTGACTGATGCCCAGAAACACGACTACGATGCAGTGACAACCGCCTTCGGCAGACACTTTGTCCCTCGGACGAATGTCATTTACGAACGTTCAAAGTTCAACAGGCGTGTGCAGGAAGCGCACGAAACGGTCGACGCCTTTGTGACAGATCTCTACAAGCTGGCAGAGGTATGTGCATACGGCGACTTAAAAGAAGAGCTAATTAGAGACCGACTCGTCGTGGGACTCGTCGACGTCAAGCTGATTGAGCAGCTTCAGCTCAACCCTGAACTAACGTTGGAGACGGCGATCTCCAAGGCTCGAAATTCGGAAACTGTGAAGCAGCAACTCAAGGAACTGCGACCACAAGCACAGCCGAACGCGATCGTAGACGAGCTTCACTTCTCCGCGCAGCGGGCCAAAAAGAAGAAGCAGCTACCAGTCCGCAACAAAGAACAGAACCAAGCTTGCAGATGGTGTGGTTCCCCGCGCCCACACTTGCGTGCCAAGTGTCCTGCTGCCGACAAGACATGCAATGGGTGTGGAAAAAAAGGACACTTCGTGTCAGTGTGCCTGTCCACAAAGAAGAAAACTCAAGACAGCCAGAGTCAGCGCCACGCCGCACTCGAAGAGGTTTACCTGGGTAAAGTAACAAGTCAACTCGGATCAGAACCATGGCGGATCACAGCTTGCGTCAACGGCTCGCCCGTAGAGTTCAAGGTGGACACGGGAGCTGACGTCACGGCCATCCCGTCCAGGGTCTACAACAAGTCACTCATGGGACCACTCAGCAGACCTACGAAGGCACTCCTGGGGCCCGGCCGAGCCAAGATTCCCACCGTGGGACAGTTCAAGGCGACCCTGAGGTGGAATGGACGATCGTGCCAGGAGCAGGTGTTCGTAGTGGACAACCTTCACGACGCGCTTCTTGGCCGTCCAGCAATCAAGTCTCTGCAAGTCCTGTGCAGCCTGTCTGTAGTCGAGGGATCAGAGGTAGACGAAGACGACACACACAGCAGACATCTTCAGTGACTACCCCAAGCTGACTGCGGGTCTTGGACTACTAAACACCGAGTACAAGGTAGCTCTGCTCCCCAACGTCAAACCGTATGCGGTAACGTACCCGAGGCGCGTCCCTCTTCCAAGTGTCAAGCAGGAGCTGGAGCGGATGGCGAGCCTCGGAGTCATCGCAAAGGTAGACCACGCAACTGAGTGGTGTGCACCGATGGTTGTGGCCAGAAAGAAAAACGGTGAACTACGCATCTGTGTCAATTACAGTGGCCTGAACAGCTGCATCCTGAGGGAATGAGTCTTAATGCCAACTGTCGACGAATGCCTTGGAAAACTGGCTGGAGCAACCTGGTTCAGCAGACTCGACGCCAGAGCGGGCTACTGGCAAGCCCCACTGGCAGCAGAATCACGGGAGTATACAACTTTCTTGACGCCATGTGGTAGATTTCAGTTCCTCCGACTACCATTCGGTATCTCCACTGCACCCGAGTTCTTCCAGCGTGAGATGCTAAGAGTACTCGAAGGTCTCGAAGGTCAAGCTTGCCTTCAAGACGACATCATCGTGTTTGGAAGAACGAGAGAAGAACGTGACTCACACTTGCATCAGGTACTCAAGCGCCTGCAAGATGTGGGCATAACTCTCAACAAGGACAAATGCGTTCTTCGCAAACAGTCTGCAGAATTCCTCGGACATGTCGTCTCGGCCAACGGGGTCAGTGCGGATTCAGTAAAGATCAAGGCTCTCGCTCAACTGACACCGCCAGGAGATGTATCGGAGGTCAGGTCGTTCCTGGGTATGGCAAACCACCTGGCTAAATTTCTCCCTGGACTCTCTCAACTCACGAAACCGCTTTGCGATTTGCTTTACCATGACGCTGATTGGTGCTGGGGAGAGCCTCAACAAAAAAGTTTCGACTCCGTCAAAGAAGCACTGACGACCACACCGGTACACTACGATCCTCGAAGTCATCTCACAGTCTCAGCGGATGCATCCTTGTACGGCCTTGGGGCTGTCCTCCTTCAGGAGATGTCCGGAAAACGACTCCCTGTTGCCTACGCATCACAGTCACTCACAGAAACTGAACAACGCTACGCCCAGATAGAAAAGGAGACGCTGGGAATCGCATGGGCATGCGAGCATTTCCGCCAGTACTTGCTCGGTCTGCAATTCCACATAGAGACCGACCATAAGCCGCTCATGCCTCTGTTGTCATCAAAGCGCATAGACGAGGAGAGTCCATGATTGCAGCGTCTGCGAATGAGACTGCTGGAATTTGACTACACAATCTCCCATATTCCCGCAAGGAGATCCATACAGCTGACATACTCTCACGGAAGCCGCAAGCAACAACGGACAGCAGCAGTCCAAGAAGTCTCGAAGTAGCTTTGACAGAATACGAGCTACTCAGCGTAGAACTCCTACCGGCCTCCACCAACATGCTGGAGAGGACCAAAGAAGAACAAAAGCGAGATCCAACTATCGTGACTGTTGGGAACTATTGTTCAACGACGTGGCCCAAGGGCGTGTCACTGCCACTACCAGTACAGAAATATGCCAGTGTGTCCCAAGAGCTAGTTGAAGAACTTCTCCTCAAGGGAAGTCGCATCGTCATCCCGCCAAGCATGCAGGACGAGGTGCTGGAAAGCCTGCACACGGGTCATCAGGGCATAGGTCGTTGCAGAGCTCGGGCCAATCAATCAGTTTGGTGGCCTGGCATCAGCAGGAGTGTTGAAGACTATGTTTCAAGATGTCCAGTGTGTCAGACACACCGAAAGCCTGGCGCAGAGCCCCTGCTACACACTCCACTCCCGAATCACCCATGGGAAGTTGTAGGCGCGGACCTCTTTAACGAAAGTGGCGAGAACTACCTTGTAGTGGTAGATTATTTCTCGAGGTTCTTTGAACTTGAGAAATTAAGAAAGACAACAACCCAAGACATCACACGGGAACTGAGCGAGATGTTTGCCCATTTTGGAGCACCCGTCATCATTCGATCAGACAATGGGCCCCAATTCGCTTCTGCCGAATTCGAAAGGTTTGCGAAGGAGTGGGGATCACGCCATGTAACAAGTAGCCCATATTATCCTCAGAGCAATGGGGCGGTGGAAAGGACCATACAGACGGCGAAGCAGCTGCTTAAAAAGTCGCCGAACATCCACAAGGCGCTGCTTGCTCATCGGGATACCCCTGCAACTGAAGGATACTCCCCTGCGGAACTCATGATGGGAAGAAAGATACGGACAAATGTTCCAGCTGTGTCCAAAGCGTTCCAGCCTCGGTGGAACAGCGAGCCCTTTCGGAAAAAGGATCGTGCATACAAAGCCAAGCTGAGTGCACATTACGATGCCCGTCATAGGGTCAAAGAACGAGACCATATACCTCCACATACAGCTGTGCAAATTCTGTCAGGAGCAGCCACAAGTGGGACAGTGCTGCAATCAACGCAGTCTCCTAGGTCATATGCGGTGAACACAGCCAATGGCATCACTCATTGCACGAGCAGACATCTGCAACCTTGGCAGCCTGGAATAACCGTCACGAGAGGTGGACGAAAATCAAGACCTCCAAGCCGCCTCAACCTGTAGGTGCTGGGAGTCTTCAAAGAAAGGGGGGTGTCGTGAGAGCCACAGCACGAAGAGGGTGCCACAAGCCAGATGACAAAGAAGCCAGCGAAAGGGCTGAGTGCGAGAGTCTGGGTCGGAGAACGCCAACACGACGGGCGCACGGAGACTTGACGTGCGGGCTCATGTAACCATGTAACGTATCGTTAACTCGAATTAAACGCTTTGTTTACGCCAACCTCGTCCCGACAGGAATCTGCCATGTCTTGATGAATACGCAATAAAAGAAAACCAGGTCTCGAAGCTAGCGCTCGTATTTTATTGAAATCAACAGCCCCTAATGTGCTGGCAAACAGGTATACAAGGTTAGTTGGAACAGGCTATCAAACATATTTACATTTCTTTCAACTGTTTATACAACAAAAAATCGCACGTGCCTGCTCAAAGCCAAGGTGTCCAAGTCTAGGGAACTTCCAACTCTGGCCATCAGTAACCTATTCCAACAAAGCACACATCTCCAGATAACTTCAGGCTTACATATAATCAACAATCATGTGTTAATGAGAAATATATTTGCAACAATGAGAGACCTGTAATAGTGAGCAAAATTTCGGAGAGGATAAAGCTGTTTGAGGTATGCCACGCGAGTCGGCTACTTCTACCAAGCACACAGATGCAAAGCGGTGAAGCTGTATGTGTGCGCAGAGCAGTGGTAGGAAGCTTGATGTGGCCAGACTGTCCGTTTATATTTAATTAGTTTGTATTTCGCCTCAGATATTTCTTTTTCTTTAATACAAGGGTCGGCCTACATTCAGAAATTATGTATGTTCTAGTAAATATGATTGCTAAAATCGGGAAAGTGCCACAAACAATAGGTCTAACGTGGTTGGACAGAGTGATGAAGTTATAATGTTACAGTGATTGCACAATGACTACTAACACAGGGTCTTTCAAGGAATGCTGAACCAAAATTCGGATTTCACAAAATAAGGCCGCAGAAGTGTTCACAGGACGCTACGAACGCCAAAACATCACTCGTACAGCAATATCTCGAACCGATGGCCGTGTTTTTGGACAAAAAGGGCAGGACTGAGCAAAGAATGCGACGTAGCCATTCTCTGGGAACGGTTGAGAACAAGAGAAAACGGACGTCCTTCTCTGCTCCTCGGTTCGGTTTACCTCCTCGAGGGGGCAAAGGGGAGGGGGAATGAGGATCTGAACATGACAGGCCTTGCCTGCCTTCGTCGTTCAATCGCTCCCTTCTTTCCTAAAAATACGGCCATCCGTTCGAAATATTGCGGTACGAGTGATGTTATGGGGGTTTGTAATGTCCCGCCTATTGCACCTGGCTTGTTTTACGAGATCCAAAATCTTGTTTCGCATCCATTTAACATGCATCATTCAGCGTGCATGCTAAATAAGTCGTGCAAGTGATTTGTTTTTTCGCAAAATTTTTCATTGCCTTAAAGTATTTACACAGGGAAGTTTACATGTTTTGACTGTGACACTAGTCATCCCTAGTCAGTGGCTCCCGGAAATTGCTTAAGAAACAACAAACTTGAAAGACCTGGTTAGCAATGCCGATCATTGTGATGGGGAACGGACGATCCAAAATGTGAAACTGTTTTACCCTCCCAATCACACGCTCAACAATTACTCTGGCACTAGCCACCCGGCGGGAGTGCGCAACGTCCTCCTCTGGCATTTGCGGCTCTTGCGGCTTTCTGAAAGCAGGGATGTGCACCTGAACCCCTGCTGGTATGTTATTAAGCTTGAAACCCTTATCCACCATAATGGCGTCACCTGACTCCAATAGCCCTAACAACCCACTCTCCTCTACAATCAGCCTGTCTGAAACTGACCCTCCCCATAACTTGGAAACATATGAAACGTAGCCATCAGCGGTGCAGCCAATGACTGCCTTATAAGTATTAAAGTGCTTATAAGGTGAAAAAGTATGCCTCTGGGCAGCCAGGGAAGAGGGCCTCTGGATGCGCACCTCCGTTCCGTCGAGAACTATTCTTGTGTTTACGAAGTAGCGAAAGGCATGAGGCAGATACATCTGAATTTCGTGCAGAGATGGAAGCCGTGTCAGTGTACTCAACTCTCGCTGCAGGAAGTTTATCCAGGTTGTAAACAGCCTGCTCACCGTCGCTTCATGTACTCCAAAATTGCGGGCCATTTCCCTGCCAGCCATTCCCGTTCTCAGCCTAGTAAGTACCATGAAGAATTCCTCAATGAGCTCCAACTCCCGGGGGCGGCCTTTCATCCCGCTACTCTTTCGACTGCTCGACCAGTATTGCATCTGGGATGCCCGAGGTGCAAAAAAATCGTATGCTGCTTCAAATACAGCAAACTCGGGCAGCCCAGTGTAATAAATGCACTGCTTGGGGTCATGTCTGATGAAGTCAACCGATAGCCGCCGTGTCTCGTGGTGCTGTAGCTCCACTTGGAGGCGCATGTTGTCAGCTTCCAAACTCAAGATCCGCTGCTGCATCTGTGCAATCTTGAGTCTGCACCCGTCATGCGTCCCAGACATCACGGACTGACCAAGATTGTCCTCGTGCTCGATCTCTGCAAAATAGAAGTATGCATAAATGAATTCATAATTATACAGTTTTTGTCTCTATTTCTTATGCTGAATAATTATGTATGTGCTATTCCTGCAGATTTCTGAAATAAGCCCCTTGCACTCAAGCACAGAGGAATTTTGGCTCCAATTACTGGCCATTTTCTGCTTGCCAGCAATATTTTATTATACCCATCCAAATGTCGGAACGATAAATGCATGTAGATAAATAAAATAGTGAAGTAGTAGATTAAATAAAACTTGCGCACCATTTTGCTCAGCTTTACTCTAACTGCTTATGATGAAAGTTCTGAAAAGGTTGTCTACCTTGCGTAACAGCCCATTTGTATGCTGTTTAGACACCATAAAGCAGGTTCCTTCGTTCAAAACTACAAACCATGCAGGTATGTATATTAGCAGTTATGCCGAATGATTTAGCGACATGAACTGTGACAGCTGCCTGCTGCACAAGTAACAGCAAGCATGAGCACCTTCGATGGTTTGCTGGACACATGGAGTGCTTGTCTGGGCTCCATGCCCATTGTCCAGGAGGGGCGGACAATGTTCCGGGATGCTGGTCTCTCCTGTAAGGGGACCAACGACCAGGGATGCTCTTGCTTGTGCCACAAGTTGGATTGCTGCTCTGGAAGGCCCAGCTGCTGCTGCTGTCGAAGGCCCGGCTGTAGCTGAAGGTCGAGCCGCAGCTACGCAAGGTCTGGTTGCAGCCGCGGAAGGTCCGGCAGCAGCCGCAGAAGGTCTAGCTGCAGCTGCGGAAGGTCTGGCTGCAGCCGCAGAAGGTCTGACTGCAGCTGCAGACGGTCTAGCTGCAGCTGCGGAAGGTCTGGCTGCAGACGTGGAATGTATGGCTGCAGGCGCGGAATGTATGGCTGCAGGCGCGGAATGTCTGGCTGCAGACGCGGAATGTCCGGCAGCAGCCGCAGAAGGTCTAGCTGCAGCTGCGGAAGGTCTGGCTGCAGCCGCAGAAGGTCTGGCTGCAGCCGCAGAAGGTCGTGCTGCAGACGCGGAAGGTCTGGCTGCAGCCGCAGAAGGTCTGGCTGCAGCTGCGGAAGGTCCGGCTGCAGCTGGGGAAGGTCTGGCTGCAGCTGTGGAAAGTCCGGCTGCAGCTGTGGAAGGTCTGGCTGCAGCTGCGGAAGGTCGGGCTGCAGCTGGAGAAGAACCGGCTGCTGGCTGAGGTGCCCCATGTTGAGTGCTTGCAGGAACTGGAGCGGTTATTTGGGCCACAATCCTTTTTTTGACAGCAGCTGCAGGGTCACAATCGCAACACACAATATTGGTGCTGCATAACCAATGCATACTATTATTGAAACCTGCAAAATGTAAATCTCGGGGTAGTAGATGCCAAACAAGCGTAGGGCATCTGGCACGTCTCAGCGTTGGACGAGAATAATTTCCACTACTTGGAAATCTTATGACGTGCACTAAAAATCTCCACCTAGCTATGACCATTTATAAATCTGACGACTCTACACAGTGTCATAATTTTTCCTCTCTAATCATAACGCTTAGACATCATGCAATGAAAAGAGGGAAGGCAGTGGCAAACTGGTCTGCATGAGCTACTTCTCTAGTGCAGTGAAAAAAATGCATAGGAAACAAGAAACCTGGGGAAGCACCAGCAGGCTCATATACACACGCATCAACTGTATTACGCTCGAAACTTGACGGCGATCTGACATGGTCGTCGCGCAGCGTGGTGATAAGCTGAGCTCACGATGTATGCACTGCCGCCGGCGCGGACGCTGGCAGCTACCAACGCCGTCCCCATCAACAGCGGATGTTACGAAACCAGTACCCGTAGCCCGGTCAACAAGTCAAATCGTTCGAGCATGCTGAAGAGGCAGCACGAGATTACTAAACACGACGTAGTACGTACCCCCCGTCGACAAACGATGTTTCCACCGTTCGTAGCGGCCGAGGACCGACGGCCGGTTCTTCACGTAAGTGAATACAGTCGGCACGTAGTCAGGGTGGCTGTTGTCCAGTGATGGTTCCCCTGTTTTATAAAGTGGAAGTGTTACATTTCCGGTGCTTCTCGAAAGTACGATGAAGGTGACTTACCTGTTACGAAGTGATCCTCGCATATTCGCGACTCCTTACTTGGCTCCCAAGCCTTGTTTGGGTCTGACGGGAGCACTCGCTTCACTGCTCGGATCCAGGCCGCTCTTCGATGAGGGAACAGTTTCTTCGAAGGGAATCGAAAATAGCTTTTCTTGTCTCCTGGCCGGTGCCAACTCCGGCAGCCAAAGGCCACGCAGCTCGTCGGCATCCCGCGGAACGCGACAGCGAAATCGTAGCGTAGTCGCGTAGTCTTGCTATGGTCTCACGCTTCGCTAGCTTGTCGTCTCTCCCAACATACCCTCGAACCCGGGCGTCCGGCGCGCCGAGATACCGCGCATGCGCACTCCGTATTTTCGCAAAACGTGGATTGCGGCAAACAACGAAATTAATCACACAACTAAATCTGAAAAAAAAAAAAAAAAAAAGTACTACTGAATTATCTTGCCTTTCCCTGTGCCTTCTCCGTCTTCTGCGGAAAAGTAAACGTGCAGACACTTTTTTTTTTTTGATTCTTCTAACGAGTTTTTTTTTTTTTTTTTTTTTGTCGGTGTTTCGTGCCGTGTGTTTATATTTACGATCGTGGCATTTAAATTGTTAGTTTTAGTTTTGAAAACAATTATAAGTCTCTCGTTCCACGCAGCGCACTAACGCTCACGCGTTTCTGCGTGTCGTGGTCTTGCCTTTACACTTTTGACAAAGTCTGAGGTCACTTTTCTGCAGAAAAAGGAGACCGCCAATCACAGCGAACAATAGAAGAAACCCCAGGAAATGACGAAATTCAAACGACTAGACAAAAAAAAAAAAAAAAAAAGCGACGTACGCTGGGACACTAAGTGTAACGTTTTGCTCGCTAATTGTCCTCCTGCGCATCGTATATATTTCGGATCTAAATGTATTCAGAGTTTCGTTAGACTCCGGGATCCTTCTATTGTTTACCGTGACAGGTCTGTCTTCGTGTTCTGCCAGAAAGCGAATTACTCGCGGCACTTTCCGAAGTGTAGATTGCACAACGCGACGTTTTGAGGGGGGAGGGGGGGGGGGGGGGGGCGGCACGAACGCTTTGTTTTTGTGTGGGTCTGCGACCCTCGCACGCTGAGGCGCGGATTTGTAAACACTGCAGACATCAGTTCTTAGAACTTTGCTTCTACAACGTTTTCTATAGTATGAACTGGCGCGCGTATACAGAACATGAGCGAGCCATAGCAACACGTACTCCACCTGAAAGCTCTGGAAGCGAAAGTAGGAAAGTATTTGAATTCACTGTACTGCATTCAGCCCTAAGCTGATATTGCGGTGGAAGCTACGTGCATTTTGCGGAGCAGTCACACGCCAACTTTCGCCACCGGATCACGCTTCCGCCTATTCCCCGCGCGCAGAGGCGGGATCGGGTGATGAAAAAGAAGTAGGTATGATTATCATAATATTAGTAAGAGTAGTATAACCAGGGCACGGAGCTTGCTGTGATCTAGAAGCGAAAGTCAAGTTGCTCTGGACATTTCCCTATGCCCCCTTGATTTCCAGCTTGACGGTGGAAACACACTACTAAAATCACACTTCCTTCCTTATATAGAGCGCGCCGACTCCAAGTTAGCGAACTATACAATGACCGCTGATAGGTATACAATTGAAACCTAACCGCCGATCGCTTCGAGATATACATATATATCATAGCTCCGGATTATTTTCCGGCAAGCCCGTGGGACCTGGCGAACGCTCGCCGCTTCTGCGGCTAACGGCAGTTAACACCGACAGGTATTTTAATCGGCCTCTTTCTCTAAACCGCTATCGTGCCCTGGCATGGTTTGGAAGACTCCCCGAGGGGCCAGACGCATCGGTGGCCGGCACTGGCCAGTAGCTGCTCGGTTATCTACAATTGCGTCTTCTTCCAAGTTCCGCCTTTCCTTTTTGTATCAGGAGCAGTTTGTTCGGCCCCTTTAATTTCCTTTTAGATCGCCTCCCTTTCTTTTTCGGAGTCCAGCAGATGAGGACTCGGACATTTAGGTGTATGACGCTTTGGTGCGCACTTTTGGGTGCACGGACCTTTCTTTGCGCGGCCTTTTCAGTGCGTGGACATTTGGTGCACGCACTTTTGGGTGCATAGACATTTCGGTGCGCGGACTGTAAGGTGCCTGGACATTTCGGTGCACAAAGTTTCGGTGTACGTACTTTTCGGAGCATGGGCATTTCGTTGCACGGACTGTTCGGGGCATGGACATTTCGGTGCACGGACTTTTTGGTGTATGAACCATTCGGTGCATGAACATTTCGGTGCAGAAATTTCTTGGTGTACGTACCATTAAGTGTATGGACTTTTCTGTGTACGGATTTTTTGGTGGATGAACGTTTTGGACCCTTTGGGTGCAGAGACATATCGGTGGACGGATCTCTCGGCGCACATACGTTTTAAACAAATGAACATTTCTCGATTAGATAGATTTATGAACAAAAAGGTGCTAGTACACGTTATTATGCATAAATGTACAAAACCAGAACTTTTCACCCGTAATTTTAGTACTGGTCAAATAAATAACATCAATTTGAGCATTAAGTACCGTTAACATTATCTACTAAAGTATGACGGTCTCCACCTTCACCGAAAGACAACGCAACAAAGATTTAGACGACATTTGATGCGGAAGTTGAATTGCAAACGACGTTTCCGTCCTCTTTTCCTCAACCCAGTTGTGCGTGCGAATGCACATCCCGTGAAAACGCTTTCTGTCTTCTGGGAGTCAGCGGCAGTCAGCGCGCGCGACCTCAGAGAGCCAATCTCGCCATCGCAGGGCGTTGTCTTGTCCAGTCATTGTCAAGCGTCGCCTCGGAGCCGCCATCTCGGAACAACCTCGAGAGCATGTAGCGAAGCAGTCGTGTCTGCCCCGGGCGCCTTATCTGGGGATCCATTGCCCGCGGGGGGGACAAGCGAAGTCCCCGGAAGATGGAGCGGCTGGAGCAACGGACCCGCGGGCGTGACGACCTTGCGCAGCAGAGGCCGCGTCGACGACCTTCCCGGTGGCCGAGGAGGAGCCCCCGCTGGCGCGTTCGGAAAATGCTTGTGGAATATAACTTCAACGGGCCAGCTTAGGCGCTCTGATTGCCGTGTTTTATTTTGCCTGGTTTACGGGCTTGCTTACCAGATACGTGTACAAAAATCTCAGAGCCGGCTAACAGATGAATCACTGAGGCATGTTTATCTAAGCCTAGGGCATCTCCCACTGCCCCGTAAACCTGGAAAAGTGAATCAGAGTGCCGAAATTGATCTGCTGACTCAAGGCCTGTTCACACATACAGCGCAGCGCCGCATCGGCGCTGATGCTGTGCCGAGTTGTCGGTTGAGCAGCGATGCATCGGTGCTGTATCGCTGCTCATTACCGTGGAACAGAACGTCGGCAAGACGTCACGCGCACCACTGTGGAACCACATCGACGATAAGTTAAGTTTAAGTCAGAGCTCGATTCGGCTCTTCACTGTATGTGTGAATCGGCCTTTACTCCCCAAACTTTTGCGAACACGCGCCCCGCTGCAATGTATACTGTATATCGCTTCGTCGACGCGCGGTTCGTCGACGTATGGTTCGGCGGTGTACGTTTCGTGGACAAGTTGTCCGTGGAAAGACAACTCGCCAACGACAGCAGTATGACGCTTCACCACGGTACACCATATGTAGTCAGAGGGTCCCCAGCTATAGGCGCCGCTGGTGGCTGTCTTTTTGTTCACTTTCGGAGTTCACTCTATTCAACACAAGCGCTTAACGCCCACGCGCAAAATGCTGAGTCACGGTATCCGCACAAAAGTTTTCCAGCGCACACAGAGTGCGTTTAGAGTTTCATTGTCAAGTGCGCATGATGTTCCGCACAAGGGGGCTACTGCGCATACAGAAAAGGCATTTCTGAGACAAAGATGGCAGCCGAGCAGAAGGCGAGGAGTGGTCTATACAGGCTGCGCCGTTCCAATTACATGGAGAGCAACAAACCACGATTGCCATGGTAATGATCACCAATGCAGCATCGAGAACAGGCTTTCGCCTCGCGCGCGTGAGCCATTCGTCGAAGCGCGTTAAACGTTTTATCAGAAGATATTTTTTTTTAATTAGAGCGTTTTGATAGCGTTACTTGATAGCGATACGATGCATAGCGCAAAGGGCGCCGGTGGACTATAGGGTATCGTTATTGGGAGCTATCGGAACGATTCAATAAAACTTGCTGTCAAGTTCTAATATATCGCTTCGAAACCTCCGATAACGATGTATGCGATGCATACGCAAAGGCATCGTCGGAGTTGCGTGTATCGTTATCGGAGGTATCGGGACGATCTACTCGAACTCTCTATTGTCCCATGCCTTTGAGTATAGTCTTTCGTTGAACGACGTTTCACCTACGCGCGTACTATTATAACTGTTGTCCCCTTTTTGCCGAAACATTGATGGAGAGGAGAGAGACGAGAAGCGCGCGGGGGTGTCAGAGTGCCGAACTCTAACTAGAATTCGTGGGTAGATGCAAAGGCCTTTGTCTCTCTACCCACTGTATCTCTCCAACCAGAGCAAACACGAGCATCGTCTGCTACTCGCGCAGTGTTTGGAGTTCTAACATCAGACTCCGGTGTTCGAACGCCCGTTCCAACAGTGAGCCGAGTAACCTTCGCGTCTTCACCCACTCTCCTTTCAATCAGAGCTCAGCGCTCTGTCGACCCCGCATGCGCTCTCGTCATCTCGTCTCTCTCAGTTTCTCTCAGCATTGAAAATGTCCGGGCACGCCACGTTATTGCCACTTCCTAAACTTTGTTTTTATTTATTTCCCCGTTTAGAAAACGGGAGGCTACGAAACGCCACTGTTGTACGAACAAAGTGTGTACGCCACACTTACGCCCGTGTACTTTTTTCCGTCGCTTTTATCATTCCGTGAAACAATTTAAAGAAACCAAATATTTTCAAATTACTGTTTTTTTTCTCCAGAAAAGTGCAGCAGGTGTTGCGTTTTGCTTCAGAACGTGTAGGGTAAGGTCTTCGTTTTGTTCATTTCTTTTACTTATAGCCTCGCATCAGACAAGTAGTACCAACGAATCGGCGTATATATGTCCCCTGTTTGTTATTTTGTTTAAGAGGGAAAAAAGAGGAGGGAGTGGTAATTACTAAAAATATTGGTATTCCTAATGGAACAATATGCTCGCAAAAACTTCCATTAAAAATATAATAGGGCTTTAAATAAATAAAAAAAAAAAAGCTTTGCGGTTCGCGATGCGCGTTTTACATTGGATGTCGTGGTCAAAATATGCCCA